TCCTTTGAATGATGGCTGTTGAATAACGCGAAGGGTCGTGCACTAAAAAGGGGAGTGGGGCTGTACAACACGGGAGAGACACAAAGGGAATACTCCAAGATACGGGGCAATCTGATATATTTACATAAGTCATTCTTTCAGCAGAACCCCACAGAGAAAAGCTATTGGGAAAAGCTTTTACCTTTTCCTTACCTAAAATGCTTCCAGGTTTTGTTACAAGCTAACCCAGTTTTCCCCCTGAAGTACCACGAGGCGAATATTAAGATGTCAGATTGAAGGAGAGATTCGTGTCTATACTTTGTAATAAAAGGGAACATTTTAAAACGAGACTCAGTTGCCGTAGAGTTTATCCACGAGGTTTGTTCTACTTTCAAGTGCCCTGCCATGGAATTTTTTGCCTTTCCCGTCGAAAACCCTAGAAGTTGCCAGTTTCCAAGCGGCCCCTGCAGTCCCGACTACAGAAAATCTTCAATGCGTGGGAAAGAAATACAACCTGTTACTTAGTTATTTGCAGCAGGATTGCCAACTCGGCAGCATTGTCCTGGAGTCTCCGAGAATAAAAGATTCTTTTTTACATTAAAGATTACCATGTGATGAAACTTCCAGGAATACTTCTAACCACAACCGGCAACACTAGATAACACGCAAAGGCTCAACCAACATTTAAGTTCCAATGCGCTTGGTGTTAGAGGGACACCCAGCCGCCCTGCATTCCCAGCACACCAACATCAAAATGAGGAAAGAGCGCAGGGGAGTTAGGACGAAGAGAATACAAAATGGAGAAAGTGAGGAGAGCCAGTTAACATTTATAAAATAGAGGCGATCATTGACTTACCCAAAATGGCTGCGTGGCTGCATAAATGAGCTTTGGAGAAGCAACTCAGAACTCAAGCCTCCAGGACAAGGGCATGCAGCTTATTGAGTTGTTTTTTTAAAATAGATATTTTCTTTTTGACAATCTGCTTCACCGTTTGCTTCCCCTACCGGTAACAGGCTACTTTCGGGTTCAGTTTGTTTGTGGCACGAAAGTGCCCGACTCTGGAGTTCAGTCTTCGAATTTGGTGGCTTTGTGAGCGTGACTTGCTCCAGAGAAATTTCACCTTAATTGATAGACGTAATCCCATACATTTAAACCAGAATAGGGGAAACAACGGCACCCCTTGACTGTAGTTAAAATGTTTCATATTTTTCAGGGGAAAAAAATCCTTCAGCTGCTCAGCTTTCTCGCACCTTAAACGCCTCCTTCAAAATGATTTATTTGAAGCTATTCTAGTCCATCCAGCTCTGTGAGATCTGCTCTATAGACTAGTCCCTTAAAACCGGTCTGCAAGCTAGTCATTTGGAACCATTCAGGTCTATTAAGTAATTACACATTACATTTCAGTAATTTACAGAACGCTTACTTTGTACCAGAAGCACTTTTGGCTAGTCCAGCGCAATGAGTGAAATGTACCGTGTTTACTGGTTAGACAGGAATAGCTCCTCTGAGTCTACTGCATTCATCTCCAGGTCCCTAGGAAGAGCCGTTCAGGTGCAGCGGTCCCCTTATTCGGAGTTTAAGGGTGTATTCGCTTTGTTTGCGCCTTTGTAAATAATATTCTGAGAAAATATTTCGACTGCTACAATGACAAAATCCTCTGATTTAAATATGGGAAAGTATCAAAAGAATACACTAAACATATTCAAATTTAATAAATTTTTGAAATGGCTAAACCGATTTTAAATTTTGTTGGGAAAACATGGCTGGAGATTTTATGTCTGAGCTTGAAGACTCCGTTAAAATAGTGGAAATATTGACATGATATTGATAAAATCAAATGATGCAATCCAATATAAGACTAGCTATTGGTATATTCGATGGACAGTTGTTCACATACCATTACTGAAAATCCTCTGTTTAATTAGTTCAAAGAACAAACCTGTTTTACACTTCAATTAGTCAGGAGACCTCTTAATCATAAAAGCACTTAAAAAATTCGTACCAGTACTGTTTATGAGTGAATTCATTGAATGGCCCAAAGTGACTTTATAATTTTCACTATTAAAAAGGAGCAGTCTGTGCAGCAACACGATTAATTACTAACTCGTTCATTTAGCCTCATTTTGCCAAGGGAAATTCACTATATTTGTGCTCCTTTAAACAGCAGATACTTTCCATTCCAGCGAAGGCTGCATTTCAGCAGAGAAAGATGAGAATAGTTTACCTAGCAGTAGAATTTGTAAACGGCTGTAAAGTGCTTTGAGATAAGTAGAGGGATAGCAGTAGTAGATAAATGGAAGCTGTTTATTTAAAACAATGAAATTTCACCCCCATAGGGAAATACTTACGAAGTATAGTCAGACTATTCGATACCCGAAAGCTAAAACAAACAGCCTGTATTATATAGGTAAAATTATTCTGCCGTTCAGTTTTCTGAAGCATCCACTTAGGCAAATCTGATGGCTAATGCTTGTGTTCAAAGAAGACATATACCTCTGGCACAGACATATCAAAGAATGACTGAGTTACAGGAAGATCAGTGGTAATGGCGGAGATGGAGTAAGAACAATCATGTCCTTGAAACACTGTTTATTAATATTACTATTAATTTGTATTACTGAGGTCTAGGAGCCGTTAGGGGGTCAGGACTTATTGTGCTCGGCGCTGCACAAACACAGAACAGAAAGACAGTCTCTGCGCCATGGAGTTCATAATCTGGATACAGACAGCAGGGCTAGCACTAATATCGGTCTGTAAGAGCAGCACAGCAGCTGCCTTTTTTTAACTACAGAATTATACTGACCTTCTCGTCCTCTCCTTCCCGCCCCCCTTCACCTCCCTTGCCTGTCCCAAGCCTCCCCACGACCTGGGGTTTGAACCAGGCTCTGTCTGCTTCACCTGCAGCCAGTGAAGCAAAGCAAAGGGAAATCCCGGACGCCTAATTCCCAGCTTTTAGCAATAAACAGTGACAAAGAGTTGCCCGGAGGAGGGGGGGCCCCCCCGCCAATACTAACTCCTTCGGTGTAACAGAAGTGGCCTGGTCTGGACCCCGCTCCGTGTCCCTTGCAAGTGGCTGAGTGTGCAGCGGGGCGACTGGTTACGTCGTGGCTTCAACGAGCCGCATAGACAGGCAAGGGCAGCGGGGCTGCGCGCAGCCTCTGCCAGGGCCATGGGGGAGGGGGCTCGCTGGGCCGCAGGTGGGGTGTGACTCGGGACCGCTTCGTTCCCTGCCCCGATTCTGGGCTGGTCTCTAGCGCCTCCCTCAGGGGAGCTGCAGGTGCCCAAGTTGCCTTGGCCACCGTGCCGTGTAGCTTGGCCGCGTTATTGCTGGCGCCGGGGTGAGACTAATCTCCGGGGGCCTCACAACTAAAATGGCCGGAGAAGCACAGACAGGCGCTTTCCAGCGGGGCCGCGCGCACGAGGTGCCCCAAACCTTAGCCCCAGGCCACTGAAGCATAGCAGCACTGCCCGGCTCCCCTCCCCCGCACCCTGGGAGGAGTTTGCACAGCGGGGCCCCGGTGTCGGACCCAGGCTCTCGCCCGCGGTGACAGCCCCGAGTCCAGCGTCTCCTGGCTCCGCTCCGCGCGCTGCGGACCCAAGCACCGTGGGGAAGGGAGGGAGAGCGGCGGCCTAGGGCTGCGGCCTTCCCCCCAGGCCGGGGCGTGGCGAGCGCTGTGTGGTCCGCGCCGGGCGGCAGCCTGAGCCCCGGACCCCCGGGACAACCTCGCGGCGAGCGG